GAGTGACAGCTTTGACACAGTGACAGGAGGAGGCAGGCACTGAACCACGGCAGTGGTGGAACATCACTAACTACATGTACCCAAGTCCTGAAAGTACAACTTTAAGGCACTTGTTCTTTACTCGAGAATGTAAATGTATTATTTACATTTACATTTATTTGAAAGTTACTAGTTAGAGATTCAGATTTTACTCGCAAAACCTATGATGACATGTAAAGTATGAGTATTTTTTACATTGTTGCATGGCTGCCACAGCAGCCCAGAAGAAACTTCCTTCGACACTGTTGCATAAATGTACTCATGAACATTTTATGGGTTGTCCGTGTGTGTGTTGTACTGGCTGTGAAAACAAATCTCCCCATTTTGGGACAACAGAAGTAGTTCTTAGTACATTTTCAAGATAAGTAAATGAATATGAATGAATGAATAATTCTTCCATCACCGCCCTACCTTTCCATAACAGCAATGGCCAAACTGCAAGCCACCCTCAACTGCAGCCTGCGTTAAATGCATTCAATCAAATGAAAGGACGTTTTGCACTGCCTTCAAATGTTTATTTTAACAAAGTTGGCAACTAGTTTAAGACAGGTGATTTCCAATCAATGCTGCGCCTGAGGATGATCATAATCTCTCATAATCATCAAAGTTCACCAATATGTCACAAGATCTCATCTGACTACGGTGACCAGACAGAGAACCCCAAAGAAAGGGCCAGGACCTCCGTTACTTCACCGTGCACTTCTGAGAGTGCTGGGCATTTCCTGTCTGTTGGGATGCAGGTAGCATGATCTACTTGATGCTAATAATGCAGTCCCTCAGCCTGTCTTTAATGGAATTGAGGCCAAACGTGACAGGAATACTTCCCTCTTCAAAGTCATGTTGCATAGATAGTTGCCCGTTCATCGACTGCTGCGGCGGGGATGCGGGGAGTCAAGCGCACTCAGCCTTTGCTCTCTGCGTGGGCTTCATCTTCTGGATATCTGTCTCTTTGGGGGCCGCCATTTTAATATTCAAACCAAGCAGAGAGAACAAGTGCAGAGGGACAGCGGCCATTTGAATAATTGAAGAGGCTCCGTAGTGCTAGAGGATCCTCTCTCTCTATCTCTCTCTCTCTCCCTCTCTCTCTCTCCACCATATTTTCCCTTCCATCTTTTTTCCAGCCCGGCTTCTTGAAGTTTGTCCCAGAAAGCAGTCTGGGACGTGCGCTACAACAGCAGCCGATCCAACAATCCCAATAGGCTGATGGGAGAAGATAGAAAAGAAGGAAGGCGGGAAAAGAGATGTCTCACAGAGAGAAAGAAATATAGAGGCCAAACCTATTTTGACAGAAAAATGGCTATAGACCAAAACGAGGGATGAAAAGAATCAACTAAAGCCATCTCTGCCTATAATTTGCTAAACACTTTTACATAGCTTTCCCCATCTGGGTCCTTCAATTTGTTTGACAGACTTTAAAGCCAGGATGTCTAAATAACTCAGCGAGAAGAACCTTACTCCTCCCCAAAAGACTGAATGAAGCATTAAGCAGTTTTACGTTTTAAACATTCTCATATATCTATCATATCTCAAGCAGTTATATGAAAACTATTTGAGGACGACAAAATGTGATCTACATTGTACATTTTGCTAATCATGTTAGAGGCGTCAGTTAAGAATGCCTGCACTTTAACTCCATCTGCATTTTGCATTTAGAAGACCAAAGCACATTGGACGACAGAGACACTATTTGAGAGTATTTTTGATAAAGTATTTATGCTGTTCTAGGCTCATTTTTCTGGCTGAATAAAGGTTGAAAGTTAACATCTATCCATCCATCCATCTCTCTTTCAAAAAACGCAAACTTAAACTTGTCAGAAACATTATTAACGTACATCAAGACTCGGTTAATCAAGCAACTTCCAAGCAAGCATATCTGATGGATTCGTTTATGAAAATGCATACAAATACAAGCCTGGTCCAAACCATTTCCAAATTTGCCATTTTCATAGAAAATACAAGTAATAGAAGCTGTCAAGCTGTCAAAAACACTTCAAACTCCACGTGTTGATTTGCCGCCCTTGTCATGTGTGGGCTGGCAATCTTTGGCATTGACACTGAGTATTGCTGTTGTATGGATTCAAATGGGGCTTAATAAGAAATACAGTATTTTTATATTGTCCTTGCGAGAAAACCATTGTAATGAGGGAGTACACTGTCGAAGCAGCATGTGGTTGACATTGATTTGATCGTGCAGATCTGCTGAGGCTTTCATTTACAGCAACACGGGGTGTTGCATCCCTCCCCCTTGTTCCGTGCGCCTTTATTTTTAATTCTTCTGCTCAGGAGATCTCGAGGAATTAAAATTCATATTTCATCAAAGCGTGAATAAAATGCTGATAACAGAAAATATATCAAATGTATCTCCAGTTTTTGTCGGAGAGACTGTGAAAACCTCCTACAGTTATGTAACTGTTGCCACATTAATATTAGTGCAGCGTATGAAAAATCGTGCTGAAGTAAAGTCCAATTATGCCTCAACACAGGTGGAGTGAAACCCACTAAAGGTCCAGTTTTGAAATGAAAAATTCATTCAGATGAGATTTCCAGCGATTTAGCTTCTTAGACCAGGATTATATTTTTGTGAAATTGGCTTTTGTTTTGCGGGCTACCTATTTTTTGTTATGCATGAGGAGAGTTTTGACTTTCACAGACGTGTAATGTTTTATGAGAGTGTATTAACTGCTTTCAGTTCAAGATACTGAGGTTTGATTGCTGATTCAAAAGGGGATTTAAGAACGTATGAACCAGCATTGTCCACCAAATTATGACTTTATTACACCCTTGGCCATGTCACGGCAAAATCAGTTCACACGTAGTGTATGCTGACGTCTGTTTTGTTCATAAAGGAGCTTTAAAAATGACAAATAGACGCACAAGGACACGGTTGAACTTCATTTCTGAGGTTGTGATTCTGACTTTGATTCAGTCAGAAATACTTATTATGATCCTCCCACATGCACTATTTCATCTCAGTTGTATATGAGACTCTGCAAAACACAAAGTTATTCATTATACAGTGAATACATGCATTAGATTATAGCTTTCAGCCTTAAAGAAGGGGTATGTATTGTAGATGAGGGATTTGGGACAAATCACAGACTCACGTGTGTTGAATGATAGATGAAGTAAATGGTAAATGAACTTGCATTTACATAGCACTTAAAACGCTGCACACTACATAACAACATAAGTGTCTTCTCAACGGTGATGGAGCACCATTCTCTTCAAAGATATTTCCTCTTGAGCTGAAAGTTACATTATTATTGATGAGTCAATCAACAGAAAATTCCTCTACAACTATCTTAAACCGTGAAGCTCTAGTGGTGGAAATGTTGGTCTGTTGCTCAACTATTTGATACATTTGTGATAATGTTGGCTCATGTTCCCACCTACTAGCGGTTCCCTATTACGTTGCCATGCAATTTGGTGCAGACATGAACTTTGTTGATTCCTTGAATTTTCGTCGATGTCAAAATTTCATTTTGTCCAACACTTTATCTCACCAATCTAGTGTATTTTGTACAATGAACATTACAGCCTGACGGAGCCAGGAGTGTAGCTAGAGTTTAAAGTGCCAAAAATACGTCGGTTACAGCTTCTCCAATGTTAATTGGATGAAGAAAACCAGAAAATATTGAGTGTCTTTGGGTTTTGGACAGTTGGACGCATTTTGATGGTATTTCTCTCTATTTTCTGGCATTTTATAGGCAAAATGTTTCCTTGAGAAAATAATTGCAAGATGCCGCACCATTTCCTTTATTTGGTGTTTGATGATGGTGGTGGTGTGTAACACATTACTCTAAAATCTCCCATATGTGACCAACTGGGTGAAGATCTGGTAATTGTTAAGGCTGTTATGATTCTTTACTAATCAAATCATTCAGTGACCCCTTATGCCCACAATGAAAGCATCTGCGTTCATTATTTCATTATTCTCCAATCACTTATTCTGGTTTATATCTATAGTTTCCTAAAGTGTTATTACTTACTAAAGGTACTTTATAGGCTCTCACTCAGCTCTCATTTCTTTGTGCAATCAAAACAACATGCAACACAACCCCACTATGACTGATTTATATTCATCTTTGTTCTCTCTGTCCGCCTGAATCTCATAAAGCAGCGTGGCCTCAGTGAGTAGTATCCACTCTGTCACGTTGCCGACTTGTGGTCCATTATGTCGTCTAATGAGACACGCTGTTCATCTCAGATGAAATGAATGCACACTCAGTTGTCCGCCGGAAGGTCTGCAAGTCTTTAGTGACCTACCTCCTCACCCTTAAGTGACAACCTACAGTGAATGCAGTTTTCCTCTCATCTGACCATCGCCAGCAAAGGGAATTAGCAGGTTTCAGCCAAGCTGGGGTTGCCTAGGTTACTTTTGTCTGCGTTTGACAGCATTTGTATAAAGGAATATATTGGCTGCAGGTACACATGTACATGTTCAGCAGAAACAGCGGTTGTTCAGATAGTGCACTGTTCCAATACCTCTAAAAGCATTGATAATGATTTATTTTGTAGCTGAAGATTACATGTTGGACACATGTTCTAGCTGCGCATTTAATGTGGAGGACTGATAGGACCTGTACATGTTGAATGTGTTGAATGGGAATGTATTTGTGACTGTGGAAACGGTGCGTTTTGGATGACTGGATAGAGACTAACGCCTGTAGGTGGCAACCATACCTCATCAACAATTGAATCGCCCGCTCGCGCGCACGCACACACACACAAACACAGTCGGAGAGACATCAGATCTAGGCTGTATGCGTTAATGCGATTGATCCCTGATAATTAACGACCGCTGGGTGATTTAAACGGGCAGATGGAGGCGCAGGCAAAGTGGTCAAAGTTAAAGTGGTCCCTGGGCAATACGGGAACGGGAACACGCTCACGCCTACACACACGCGCACCTACGCACTACATGCGCACACACACACATACACGTGACTCGAACACTCGCGCGCGCCAGATCTGTGCCTGGAGACCGTGATTTCAACGTGCTCGCTATTCAAGTCATGGACTGCAGCGAGCGGGGGAACCATTAGGAGCCGGTGGCAAAAAAAAAAAAAAACGCTTTATTTGCAACACACGGATGATGATGATGCTGCTGCTGCTGCTGCCACACCACCCGGATCGGACACATTCTCCCTGACAAGGGGAATTATTAGTAATAGCTGCGCTTATGTAATCGATACACCGGATTGCTTTGAAGGGGGGTACAAATAGCATCCCGTGGATCTTTCCCCATTCTACTTGATAGAAAAATACTGTATTCCGCGTGCGATTTTTTTGTAGAGCAGCCTATGGCAACCCATTTGTCCTGATGCGACGCGTGTGATGGTTGCAGTGGGACGGATATCCTTAATTCTACCCAATAGGCGTTCTCAGGGCTTTTTTTTGGTAGGACGCTTGCACCCCTTTTTGCGCTGACCTTAACAATGCTTTAAATGGGTAATTAATTGTCATGTCGGTCCTCTGATCTTGTTAATTTTTTTTGAGTGAATGATCCGCGTGAAAAAAATACAGCTTGACTCTCAAATCCAAAAGAATAAGTCCACTTTGGGGTTTTTTTTTTGCTCTATGTGGGATTTGATTTAGCGATCTTTCACAGAGGAAAACCACCGGTGGAAGTCAATTTTGGACTGTGACTGGTTCTGGGGGAAAGAAGGGCCTATACAGACTTGATCCCCCAATCAAAAAAACTCTGCAGGGTTTCCTCCTCCTCAGTCCAGAGGAATATCTTCAAGTCCAAAGGGGTTACTGCTGCTCCTCCGAGGGCTCTCATCGGCGCTCAGTGGACAACCGAGGGGGATGGTGGCCGCACCGCAGATCCGCACAACTCTTTCTGAATGTTTGGCATTTTTCGCAGGCGAGCATCTTGACTTGTGATCGAGAGAGACGCGGACTGCAGCAGCCCTCCAAAAAAAAAAAATCCCCTTTCACATGGAGATTTGTGCTTCGCTCGTGCTGCAATTCTTGAAAACGGGGACCGGGGCCCTGCTGGTTTTTCCTCCACTGCTCTCAGCCTCGATTTCATTCATTCGAAAAAATGCGTAAGTATTTTATTTTTTGTTGAATTCAGTCCAATTGAGGCTATTCAGCGTGCTGTGCTGTTGTGTGTCCCCGTGCAAACCGATTCATCGCCATTTAACCGGTGATTTCTGCGTGGCTGGCAGACTTCAACGGAAAGAAAGATACTTTTTTATTTTTTATCTTTTGATATGTTCTTTTCCCATCTCTATGGGTAGCTGTCGCATTCCTCTTTCGAGCGTGAGCGATTGTGTGTGTGTTTCAGAATGTGTGCTTGCGTGTGTGTGAGATATATATATAGATAAAGATTGATAGGGACTGAAAAGGGGTTGAGGAGGTGTGTGTGTGTGTGTGTGTGTGTGTGTGTGTAGGGGGGTTAGCTGGTGCAACAAATTGTGTGTTTGAGCGCTTGAGACTGGGTTTGTGGTAGCCCCTGTTGCCAGCAGGACATTACTGCTAGAAAAAGGCCTACGTCATATGGTAATTCAAATTCAGTTCAGGTATTCTCAGCATACACGTTTGCAGCAACAAGAGCGCGGGATTGGCCAGGTGGGCAGGCTGCCCCTCAGGAAAGGACGCTTTGAGTGGGGATGTGGTGAAGCAGAAAGGCTTCAGGTCAAGCTTTATTTTGCAGAATCTGCTCATGCACACACATTTCCCCTGTCTCTCTGTGGTTCTGCTTGTTGACCCAGTATGTCTGCAAAACCCCAGCCAAGCCACCCATGGGTGATATGAATGAGGTTGTCATTTCTCCCTACCACAGGTTAACAAGAAGTACAAGGTGCATTTAAAAAAGAGTTGTTGCTTTGGCAATACAGCCTCTTTTCTTTTCCCTTTTTTTTTTGTTGAAAATGTGAATAGGAGCTGTCCATCAGTGGGAGGTGCTGAAATGCCTCGATGCTGAAAATACTTGTGTGTTGGCTGAAATGGGCAGAGGGAGCCGCATTTGGAGCAGACATCACATCTGAAATTGCCATAGTGCTTCTGCAGGCAAAAGCACTGCACTTAAAAACCTGAACCCGCTCTTCCTCAAGTGTACGCTCTCATACGCACATCTGCCGATTTTACAACCTGCTTGTAAAATGAAGGACAAACTCAGGAGTGTTTAAGAATGTGGCTGTCAATTTAGGGTTGGTTACCACAATATTTGCCTGCCCATTTTAGTTCACCTATAGCCTTGATTGGAAGTTTGAGGATCAAGCGGTGAATTGAATCATCTTAAATACAGGAATATAGGGTTCTGTTAACAGGCGACAGATTGGTTCATTTACTCCTTCGAATCAGTGGGCTCTTTAAATGTGTGAGAACCCAGAGAAAATTATAATTTCAAGTTTGAAAATGCCAAGTTATTGGTTGTGTTTTCACTCATATGATATGCAAAAAAATTTCAGCAGCTTTACGGTTACATTTTAAATTGGCTTTACATTCAGTTTCAGGCCTGGATTATTTCAGTGCACCCTAATATGCTGGTAACTGCTAAAAATTAAGGCCAGCCAACAATAAGTGTCTCAATAGGGCATTGGGTCAACATGAGCCACCTGAGCTGCTACACTGAGCTTTTGAGACGTTCCCCGTGTGGATTTCAAAGGGGGTCAGAAACATTGTTTATACAATCAGTGCAATTTTCTGCCTGGTTGAGGATTACTGGTGACCATTACTGCCAGGGTGGCAAACATGATTTCCATGCTTACCGAATAACGCAGGGACCCGTCATAGCCTGTGGATCTGCTTTTGTCACCTTGTAATATTCCTCAGTCATCAGGTCAGAAACGGCGAAGCATAATAAATGTGTTCGCTCTGACAGCCGCTGCAGTTTTGGCATTTACCTGCCTGCTAAGGGAATGGATGTACACCATGCCCGGACCACTCACCAGAAAAGCTCTGACAGAAGCCTTCACTGTGGGAAATAAGCACTTGGGCAAATAGATTTCTTTTCATGCGTGACACACATGTAGTCAACCACTGGTTCAGAACAGGGTGACTCATCGAACCATCCTCCTCAGTAAAACACTGTTTGTTCTTGCACAAATTGCTGCGTAAAAGAGGTAATTTAGGTATAATAAGGGCTTTACGCGATGCAGTTCCACCATAATATTGCCCTCTAAATTTCTTGTGACAAGCTGCCTTCTTACACCTCGGACAGACATTTGTAGAGAGCTGATTCATGGTGCCTTCTTTTTCTTTTTTCTCCTCTTGCATCTAGAAATAATACACTAACATCATAGTTCTTAGGATTATATGCGCTCGTTCGTCTCGGGTTGTAATGTCGCTTCAACGCTTTTTCCTGCCATCATCAACTTAGCCGCATTTTCCAATTGTGAAACATCACAAAAAATGTACATCACAGAGGCTCCAGCAAAAATGTTCAACTTCAACAATCAGCCCTCTGTAAAAGTCAAAGATTTCTTCTATTGAGCCACAGCAAACAAAATAATGAGCAAAACGGGTCTGCCCAGGGTTTTGACACACAACAACAAGCATGGTGGGACGTTAATCACGGATTTATTTTAAGGACCAGTCAATGTTTCAGATGTCAGTCAAACTCGGATTTCCTAATTCATTTCCAAAACTCATGGCAATAGCAATTAGCAGATAAATGATTAATGGACATCAAAATAACACACAGGTCATTTATCAAGCAAAGTCCCAAATATTATGCTGGTTCCGACAGCTCAGATGTGAGATGAAAATATTGCCCTTTTGTGTAGCTTCTTCCTTTTATTTTGTCAATGACCTTCTGGCCAGCCTGAAACCCCTCTTCGTGTAACGATGATGTTTGTTACACTCATAGACTTTATATAAGAACTGGACGTAGTCACCGTGATGTCACTCATTGTTTTGTGGACTGCGGTTTTGAAACCTCTAGTTTGGCATTTTAGCTGTCGCCATCTTTGTATTTGACTGTCGCCATCTTGGCTTTTTGCAACCAAAAGTGCCACTAAAGGGGTGGAGCTAAGTGCAACCAAACAATGAATAAGACATTTTTAGGTGACCAAAATGTTACAATTAACTTTCATGAAGTGAAAACACACTGAGGTTAAAGTTTTAAGATGAAAACACAGACAACTCCCAGACCTTGACAATGCCATGGTAGCTCCCTGTCAATCACAAGGTAGCCCCGCCCCAAAGCATAGCTTTATGGTCTCTTTCACTCTAAATGGACCATAATGTACAATGAACATCATGCTGTATTGAAGAAGACTTGAAACTAGAGATTGAGACCATAAACTCATGTGTACAATGTCTACTGAGGTAATAAAGCACAAGAGAATTAGGGTCATTTTCTCATAGACTTCGATACAATTAAACTTATTTTTGCAACCAGAGGAGTCGCCCCCTGACGGCCATTAGAAAGAATGCAAGGTTAAGACACTTCAACATTGGCTTCACTTTTCAGACCCAGAGGTTGCCACCTGGTTTGTGCATGTGAGCGTGCCCCACTAGGATTCAATCTGTCAACAGCCAAAATGCCAATACATTTTCAAATTACTATCTTCGGCCTTGCACTTGTACTTTTAGGGATTGATAGGGTAGTCAGTGTTTTTGAGGGATATGCTTTACTATATGGGGGCACTGTTTTGTTGTTTCATCAATTTATATTGGCGTCTTGGCCTTCTGCATACTGATATGAGAATTGGCATTTGGAGTGGCGATAAATTATGGCCGAGATTCTGTCTGGTTGTCCCGGTCCCTCCAGCCCTGTGCTTTTTATCTTAACTAATACAGCAGGATTGTGTGCATTTCTGTATATGTACATTATGTCTCGGTGTGACATAAATAAGCGAGTGGGATGCAGCTTGAGATAAGGCTGAGTTCCAGTCGGCTCCATTTTGATAGATAGCACTCTGTAGCTTTTCAGTGGTACCTCCAAAAACATGTGTTTGTGTCGAGTCAAGAGACAGGCCGATCTGAGCGAGTTGAACTGCTCGGGTTTGAGAGAGTCCAACGCATGCCAGGCTAGAGAGACTTAGTATTCACTGTAGCAGCTTAAGTTATGCCTTTGTGCACCAGAAAGGGGGATTATTCAGCGCATCCTGCTCTGTGTCATTCACGAGTCTGCATTTCTAAATAAACAAATATTAATGTGGAGATTTGAGAACAGGCTGTATCTGCTTGTGTGTGCCTGCCGACCTACGGCAGTTCATTACCGCTGAGTGCGCCTTATGTGCAGTGACAGTGTTGATGCCTGCAATACAAAAATGTAACTTATGGCACAAATGTCATTATGACACATTCACTGTTTTGACTGTAGCCGTTGGTGCCTTATTTCACCATCTGTGTTGTGTACTACGTGTCTGTTGTGGCCTACAGCAGCAACCAGCCATCAACTCCAGTGAGAGCCTCTGATGGAAAGAGTATGCTCAGGCTACGGCTACCACGTTTCTGCCTCTTCAGCAACCAGCCACTTTCTGCAAATGCCATAATGCCCGTTATAGATTCCTCTACAGATTTACCAACAGCCTACACGTATACATAGAGTTTAGCGATAATGCTCAGCAGTCAGCATTATTTGCTGTGATTATAGGTATGGTGATGCTGTGATGTGAGGCACAGCTGAGTGCCGCCCACTGCTCTGAAGAATGCATAATCACAGTAAACAATGTACTAAAGCCAATTATGGCTTTTATACAACTGTTTCACTGCCTTTATTTTGTACCATTTCAAAAGTTTTCAACAGAGTGTAGTAACAACAAGACATATCACAACGGTTGATACAGAAAGCTGTGCATCATGGGAATTATTCCTGGGAATGTGTTTGACTGTGTTTTTACAGCTGGTTTAATTTTGGATCCGATCCCAAGCTGATAAAACACTCTTGATTAGTCAAGTTCAAAGTCAAACCAATCCCTCATTGAATCTGTTATGTCCTCTCTATTTTATTAGCAAGAACAGTGAAAACATTTAGCAAAGTTAATCATCTCCCACGAAGTATGGTATTGATTTGCGGGTCAAAAGACGTCTAGATATCGAGGTTAAATGTGAGCTAAATTTACCATCTTCATATAGCTATTGATTTTTGAAG